TTAGACCTTCTGTTTTTAATCAGCCCTGGTGAGGGCATCTACAGTTCTTCATCCCCACCAGCGGACCACAAAAGACTCCTGTCACCATTTCCACATCATCCCCTAACCACCACGGGCCACCACGTGGCTCTGTGCCATGTTCTCCCTTATTTTCACACCACGCCTGCCATCAGCACTGGTGATTGATAGGGCGACCCCGCTTCTCGCAATGCCTTGAATGAGAGCAGCCTCAGTGAAAGCACAGAGAGTCAAAAAGTAGCCGGAGGTTAGCTTGTCAAACTGATACAAAGCCTTTTACAAATGTCTTGGTAATATTTTGGGTAAATCGCTGCTGTTTGTTGACAAAGGCAATGTCCCCCATCCCAATTCTACCCACAAACCTTGTATTTATTTTTATACCTCTGAACTTGAGAGCAAAAAAAAAAAAAAAGCTCTTTCATTGAGTTAGGAAGGGAGGATTCAATATGTCTAATAGAGTTTATCAATTGTTCAGTTCCTTTGGAAGCTTGAATGGTCAGTCCATTAGCAGGCAACAGACAAGGGCAGGATAAGTAGTGGGTGGAGCAGCCTTGCAGCATGACATCCTCAATATCGCCCGCCGCTCATGCTCCGTGAGTGATCCAGCTGCCGTTCCAGTGGGAAAATAATTCAAACCATCTGAAGCCACTCGTTCCTCTAAAAATATGATGTTATACTGTTGTTAGAGGCGAAAAGGCAGCCTAGTGTGGGAGATTGGAGTGACAAATTTGAAGGAGAACAAATGGGCTTTCCATTTCCTGATTCTTTTATTTATTGATTTTTTTACATGTTATTTCTGTCTTTGGATAGGTCTCGAGATTCGTTGTCGTGTTGCTATGCCACCCACCAATTTTTTTGTTGTTCCATTTTGAACATTGAGCGCACAGTGTGAATCCACCAAGTGTCAATCAGGGATGGAGACGGCATTGCTTATGACAGAGCTGCCGCCATCAACATCCAGCATGAGGAATGCAAGAAGAACCCAGATTGGGAACATGCCACTGCTAACGGTGGGTGAGCCAAAAGTCATTGTCAGCTTTTGACTTGACAGGCACGAAATGCCGCCAAGATGTCGTATTTCCGAAGCGTAATCTTTGGAATTACGTACAGAATGACATGGAACGGTACATGGTCCTTGTGCATCTTGATCTTGAGCATGAATCAGGGCAAACATTCTTGCCGAGTGTACTGGACTAGAGGCGGATTTTAGTGATCGTTCTAAATCCATCAAATCTGAAGTGCTAAAAACATGCAAAGACGAAGAGTAATTGTTGAGAGAACACGTTAAACTCCTTTACGCCTTTCACTCGTGATTGATTTGCTCTGAAATTTCTCTGAAGCCGCAAAGTAAACCCTATTTACATTTTGCCAAGTCATCATATGCCGCTTCTCACATCTGCGAGAAATCTGACCATTCTCGTTGGGCTTCTCCGGATGAGCAGATGGCTTAAATGTGCCGTCTCCCTCAGGGATCTGAGGCTAAACCATCTCTCTGTAACATGACACCCACCTTCTGCTTCTTTCCTCTAATAGCCACTTAAATCCTATTGTTGACTCATTCGTGAGGTTTTCATTTGCTTTATCCCATTCCCTTGGCGATTAAAGTGTGTGTTCTCAGCATTTGTGCCAGACTATGTGGGCCCTTACACCTTGCTATAAGGCGCTAGCCCTACAAAATGCTGACATTAGAACCGAGGTGCATGAAATGCATTTGTGTGTGCAGTTGCACGAAGCACAGCTGAAGCGTACGAAAGAATCAATTTGTGACGTCTAATTGTATACAGGGGCTGTTACTTGTATAGCGCTTTGATACTCAAAGCGCTTTCCACTTGTGTCCTCATTTACCTATTGATGACGCAGCATCAGGACCGACTGGGGGTTCAGTATCCTGCTCAAGGACACTTTCAAAGGTCGCAGTGGGCAGGGATTAAACCCCCAACCTCCGCGTTGGGAGACGACCACCCTACCACTTGCAAATGAACATAGCCTGACCCTCGGTTGACTCTGTAATTGGCTTCAAGATGTGTTATTAGGCAACCACTCAATGAGGTCCCGATTACCATCATTTCTGATGGCAGTAGCAATTCCGGGTCCTGTTGAGTCATCAGGCAGTTTTTGTTTATTTGGACCAGATGTTGAGCTTTCGATCTTCTGTAATCATCAAGCGTGTTGAGGATCAGAAGGTCGCACAATTTTAGACTTTGTTGCAGAGGACTCCAGAAATTCAACTCTGTATGGTGATTTTGCTTGCTTGCATTATGCTGTAAAGCTCAAACTCAACAAAGTGGGAGGCTGGCAGTTTCGACTTGTGGTAGGAGCTGGTGAGTCACTGCGGGGTCGGAACACCCAGCGCTTGGAAATCACAGGATAGGTTTTTCACTTTTTTTTTGGTGAAAGTTTTGCTCGATTCAATTCTCAAACACTGTTTTGTAATATACACTCAGGATCATTGAAACCTGTATCACTTCCGTATGTCTTCAAGTCTATTTTCTCAGTCTCCAGGTTTGTCTAGTATTTCTGTGACTTTTAAAAATGACAATGCGGCCTTTACATTCCTCGACCGTACCCAACCTGAAAAGCTTCCTACTCCCACGGAGGCAAAGTTAATGTTTGAAAATCATTGGACTGTGTCGACGTAAGTCTTTACACAGTCGTGGCCAGGTTAAGTTAATGAACTCTGCTGTATGTGTCTGATGGTGTGATGAGCAATGTCTCTTTGCTGGCCATCAGCACAGCATCATTCTATTGTATGACTCATAATGCAGGGCTCAGATCTCACCCAGTTGACAAAAGAGAGCTTGTTGATACGATTTCTAAATAATAACAGCCATCGTTTCATCCTTGTTGTGAAATCTTTTGGAGATGTAATCACCAGTTTGGAACATTTCGTAATGGAGTGGATGATTGTCGTCAGGGGGAAAAAAAAACAAAAAATAGAATGACCCCGACGTGATTTGAACACGCAACCTTCTGATCTGGAGTCAGACGCGCTACCGTTGCGCCACGAGGTCCTGTTCTGGGCGGCAACAGAAAATCTAATTGCGCCCGCTGTGGGAATGGCAACAGCCGCGCCGCAATCAGAAACATCCACAGGCACGTATATTCTCTCGCTCGCGGCCACTCAGTTCTCCCTTTACTGACTCACCACAGGGCACAAGCTTTTGTGCAACTTTTGACGAGGACAGGAAATCTGGTGTGGTACAAAGACATGGATGACAGGGTGAACAGATCGTTTGGTGAGATATTGTGTGTGTGTGTGTGTGTGTGTGTGTGTGTGTGTGTGTGTGTGTGTGTGTGTGTGTGTGTGTGTGTGTGTGTGTTTGTGCTTACATGACCTTATCATGTGAACTAACCAACCAGTGATGAGACTTAACCGCTGTGGCAGAGGTAATCAATGTTTCGATAAAATATAAAAACACAGCAGCAGACTTGTCACTCTCGACACAAGCACATACTTTTACCGAGGGCCCTTTCAGTGGTGAAGTCTGATGATGCTTCTGTAATGAGGGCTTTGCTGTCATATTTCATACGGCAAGGCACCGTGGTTGTAAGGCTCCGACATCACGTCAAGCATGTCAAATCCAAACCGTCTCTGCTCATGTTCTTTCAGCTCCACAAGTGTGTCTTTGGGATTATGTTTATGTGACTGAGCTGCTCTCAAAAGTAATCCATGTGAAGAACAAGCCGGGAGGATGTCTGTGCCAAATTGACATCTGGCATTTGAATACAATATTTGGGTTGACTCCACACCCCGAGTGCATCCGTATGAGGTGGATTCAATCATATTGTGCAACTGGATATTCAACATCAATGACCTCTTTCTGCTCAAGTTTTTTGTCACAGTACTGAACTTATCACATTTTCCTTCCCTTTTAACCTAAAAAAAAAAAAAAATGTAACACACCAACATTCCTTTCATGAGTTGGACCATTTTTGCCAGTGAACCAGAGTGGAGTTAAGTAAAACAGAGCCCAAAGGCATTTGACCACAGACCCAAAGATAGCTCTGTTTGGAGCAGAGCGAAGGCTGAACAAAACAAACAGACAGAGGGAGGACACAACATGAGGACATAAAAGCAATCGTCTTCTTGGTTTCTCTTTCTCCTCTCGATTGCTTTTAGTGCTTCAATGCTACCTTGAGCTGGCCAGAGCCTGAAAGAAAAAGAAATGAGGGCAGGAAATGGACTGAAATAGAAGCCTTTGAAATTCCCCTTTTCACAATTTTCCACCCAAAACTATCCTTGACTAGTCATGTCCCATACAGATGTCCATTTTCTTTACCCCCTGTTCTCATTAGCATCGCGGGTGAACTGGAATCTGGCTCAGCTGACTTTGGGCAAGAGGCAGGGTACGCAATGAATGGTGGCCAGCCAATCACAGCTATGAATAGCTCACTTGGTCCAGCGATTGTGCCTTCATTGCATTGCGTGAAGTGGTGGTGGACTCCGAGTATTTTTGTATGCAATATTTCCTTAATTTTAGTGCTTGCATTATCATTTCCGCACAGTCTGATCGTCTGGCCTGTTGTGGTTTTTGCTGTTATTTTTTTATTACGCTATTTATTTATTTTTTGGTCATCATTTTCATAAAGCGTGATTGTTAAAGACCGTCACCTCCCCGAACAAACATGCCAGTAGGTCACATGATGTGGTGGCACGTTTGTCCCGAGTTGATTTTTAACACAGGCCTGAGATTCTTCAAAATCTCTATTCGGATTCATGACAGAGCACATAGAAGATTAAAACATTTCATAACAGCTAGAATGAAGTCAATCCATGAACATGTCACAATGTGCCAACTGAGTAGCGCATTTATGACCCACATAGTGATCAGATCAGCTGATTCCAATATCTGTTGGTTTGGCAGCGATCATATGTGGTATGGCTCAAATAAAGTCCCAAATCCGATGCACTTGTATTGCAAATAAACACAATGCTCTAGATTTTTTTTTTTTTTAACACAACCCATTCTCCCTTTTTCCAGGACCCCAGCTATTGGGTCCAGGTCTATAGGTTGGAACACCGGGATGGCGGAATCCTTGACCTGGATGATGTCCTCAGTGATGTGGCGGATGACAAAGACAGGGTAAGTCCTAATGTTTGTATCAATAACAAGATAAATTCTTTCTATAATGGTGTCTATTAATATTGCTGCTTCACCTATTTACATTTACATTGTGCAATATCACTTGTGGTTGAACAAATGGTAAAAACAAATGGCTGTCATCCAGACTGCTTTACTACTTTACAGTTAGAGCTGTATCAGACATGTTATGATTGATGTTGTTGACAAAGATAATCATGCTTCGTTTTGATTGCCACTGTAATGTACGTACAGCTTGCTTGTTTTTTTGTTGTTGTTGTTGAAATCCTCAGTGGCAGGCGTGCATTTGGTACCTGGGCCTTTAGTGGGGACATCACTTAATCCAACTCTTCACATCACCAATGTTACATTAAAATTACTGTATTTAAGTCATCAATACAAAACAAAAATGATAAAAATATAACAGCACGCAACTGTGCCACGTACACCATGCATAGCAATTCAGAACCAGTATATATCTAATAACATGGGGAAAAATATATTAAAAAAAATAACATAACATGCATTATACTCATTGGCAATGCTGACTTTTAAATGTATTAATGCGTGCAGATTGCTACAAACATGTTTTGCACGTTTTGCAACTTGGCTCGTGTGTTCGAGCGCTTCTAAACGTCTGCACATGCGCATTAGAATGACGAGGTGCCATGGTAACAAATCAGGTGATAGCGGCGGAGAGAGCAGCTGTTTTGCACCCGCACCTGCTCCCACTCTATTGATGTCAGTAGCGTCTGTCTGGCCCCGGAAAGTAAAATCAGTGATGTCTCCCAGCTTTTGACCATCTCATTACCTGAACAGACGACAATGAAGGTTAGTCATCGAGATTCAGTCGCTGGCTTGTGGCAGTCACGTCTTAAATGTATATAAATGTGATACCAATTTTCCCCACAAGATGCTGCTCTTGTATTCTCCTATTTTATGCAGATTATAAACGTCACACTTGAAGCATATTGCTTAAAGCTCGTGGTGTCTGTTTTTATTTTTTAAACAACAAAACAAGAGGCCCAAAACTTGATCTGCTGCCCTCATTCTAACAAGATCCCCTGATAAAAATCACATCACGCCCATTCTATAGTAACTTCACTGGCTGCCCATTCACTCCTTATTTCATTCAAGATACTCCTCCTCACATTCAAAGCCAACAATATCCTCCCTCGTACCACAGTATCTCGCTAACCTCCGTCACCTTAACAGACCCAGCCGTTCTCCAGGTGAAATGTTGCATACGTCTCTTGTCCCAGTTGTGCATTTCCTGCATTATTGGGATGTATTGTGTAAATGTGTGTCCGCAACGGTTCAAATGAACAGGAGAAGAGTTTGTGTAAATACACTGGGGGTGTTTGGTTCCTCTTGTGCGTTGATAGTTGTAGTAGTAAATCCAGTCTGTCCAGTTCTTTTGATCGGCAATCAACTCCTGCCCTAGTTTCTCTGTATTTTACAAAGAGTTAACCAAAGAACTTTACCTTTAATTTTAATGAGTTAAAGCTAATGCTGATCACTTTGCTTTTGAGCTGAAGCTTTGAAAGGCAGTTTTCACCCTGATGCGAGTTCTTTAATGTTTTATTTGTCGCTAGTAGTGGTTGAGGGGGATGATCCTGAGTTGTGCAGTGAAGATACATGTGCAGTGATCAACAAATCAGATCATACAAGCTGTTATTAAAACATAAAAGAAACTATTCAGAATCATGAAGTGCTTCAGTGTGTCAGCTGAATACAAAAATGAGCCAGCTACTCAACTAAAAGCTTGTCTTAAAAAAAAAAAAAGAGTTGTGCAATTGTGGAAATAAGAAAAATTATTGTGTTGTACCACCTGGTTTTGTTTTGACCTCTGTTGACGTATTAGCTTGAAATAATTGTTTTTTTCCTCGTCAACATCAGACGTCGGGTTTTTTTTCCCTGTTCTCTGCTGCCATCAGCTGGACACTGACTGAAAATACAGATGTCAAGAACAACTTTCATTACGTCAGAGCATTTCGAGACGGGAACGGTGCCTAAAAAAGAACGAAAAAAAAAAGTCGCTCAGAGACTTTTGAGCCTGTGTAATGGCCCCAAACTGTTTAATAGTTGCAATTAACCCTTGCACCAAACTGAAATGATCAATTCACCCATAGAGTTGAAACAATGGAGTAAAGCCATGGATTCATAAATCAATGAAAATTGTTAATTATAGGCAATTCTCTTCAACTGAAGTGCACAATTACAGTGAGATGTAAACCTGGCATTGTGGAGAACTCACACGAGTCCCTTGCTCCTACTAATTACAGTAGTAGGGAATGCTTTGCATTCAACAAGTGCAGTTTATTATTATAATTTTTTTAAATAGTTTTTACAGGCGTGTTTGGCGTCTGGATCGGCCTTATTATGAGCAGATGTGAGCATCTGAAGCTTTTTTTTAAACGCATACTCGAATCCTCAGGGTGCAAACTAGAAAATGCTCAGCGCAGAAGCTGATGGAGCCTTGGCCAGAAACATGACTGGAGTTATTACACTTTTAGACCACTAAGAGGTGCTATAGTCCTGGTTTAGTGTTTACGGCAAACGTGGGGTACAAATGTGATATCTGTTCCTGAGAATTTTGTTTAAACGTTTTAGTAATATTTTGCTGGTGTTTAAACGACTGTTTTGCAGAGGGGAATAACGGTGTATGTACTCACATTACATATTAAAATGTATTTTGTATTCTAGTACAATACTCTATTTATTGAAAGCTCATTACAGGAACCAAATGCACAGCTCTTGTTTTTCTTGTGGTGGTCGATTTGCAATTTCTTGGACCCTTAAGTTGGCATTGCCATGGCAACCGCCATTGGCATCAAGTGGGCACCTGCTCTGGGTTGAGATCAAGCTGTGAGTGAAATTAGCCAAGGCTAAAGCGGGGTCCATTCAGCTCTACCCCAGGTACCAGAACGCTGCCAGGGGAAATCAAAGCCTAATTACTAATCACCAAGTGTGTTTGTGTGTGCCTGTGTGTGGAACAAAGTCTTTTGACATTCACGGTAGGCTACTGTGTACCACCAGTTTAATCCTCATGTTTTTATATATCTGTGACCAAGTGTCATGAATGATGCGCCTTTCATGAAATAAGTTAATTGATCCATATGGATCAATTTGATTTGCACATTATCAGGTGTGCACATTTTGTATTCTGCAAATGCAAAACTGGGTCCATTAAAAGCAGTGTTGCATGTTTTAATTTGTGCTAAAATGGAAATCTGATGAATTGATGAATGTTTCAGCTACCTTCTGTCATTTCTTCTGGTTTGTTTTTGAGGTAAAATTTCATGTGAATTATCACTTGGGGGAAGAGTATTGATTTCATTTTATTGCTTAGCTTGTCTGAATGCCATAACCGTTACAACATTCAATGCACTCGAGTCACGCGTCCAAATGTGCGCATGACTTGTCAACTTTTAATATTTCACAAAAGGATGCTCGAATAGCCAAAGCGGTCTTTGTAGCGGCTTGCAGATGCTTCATGAGCTCTCGCATCAATGCCATGAGCTGTATCAAATAGTCTGCCTTCATGTAACATTTCCAATGTGAGATCTAAAGTGCCTGTGTGTCTTCTTGTCTACTTATTAAGATAAATCAATATGCTTTTTTATTCAATCATACGTTCATTATTGTGCATTTAGTTTGCCGCGGTGTGGGAACTGTGCTGCATCATAATGAGAGCTGTTCCTCATCTTTATGACTCCATACCAATTAAGCGACAATATTGTTCAATATAAACCTCTTAATGAATACACTCTTAGCAAGTAAGCAAAAAGACGCTCATGCTAGTCATACCTCAACCTGGAAATGCCATTGACTGTGCAAAGTTTCTTCGACACTTTTGACTGCGTAGTCAAGTGCGCGTCAGCATGCCGGGACATCGGTCAGCTCGAAATCTGCATGCAGGCAGGATAAGCCTCACCTTTACTCATTTGTTCTGACGTTGGATGGGCAACAGCAGGCAGTTATTCATTCCATTTAATTTCTCATTTCTCTCCAAGGCTTTGAATGTATCGCATGTTTTTGTTTGTTTATTAGGTCGTCAATTTCGTAGCCACATTTTCTTGGGAAAGATTGCTGTTCCTTTTCAGCGGCTTCCGCCTTCACACAGTTACAATCCCTCACAGAGGGGATATAGCCAATGCAATCATAGCCTTTGTGCGCCTCGCCATCAGGGAAACCACAGGATTTACTTTGAACAACTCCATGGCCTGCTGGTCATTTTATCCTTGTAAAACATGAGAAAACACAATAGTTTCATGGGAAGTCATTGACATTTTGAATGGATGTGCACGACATTCACTCCTATCATTAATTCTTTTTTTCCCGTTCCTTTATTTTCCTGCTGTATTACAGTTACGCCTTCATCAGAATTCGAGTTGGCTTCATTTGCATCGCATACGCAATATGACATAACATTGAGCAAAATCAGGTCGCGGCACCAACCGTATTATCCAGCTTGGAGGCAAGGCAGTTCGTACAGCGTAGGTGTCTTTGATTCCTCCTCTATGACAGCTCCACCCTCAACAACAGTGTTTTCTGCCAAATTGTTCCAGACATGATCTGAACTCAGCAGAATACCGTCTGGTCATGCTGTTGGTGTTTAGCCAGAAAATTACAGAAGGAAAAAAACAACAAAAAAAAGACATCTGTGAGAGAAACAATGATACCACTACATTGAAGCCCCACCCTCCCCCACCCTTGCTTTTTGTGCTATGAATAGGGAAGAGGCTGTACTGGTTGACAGCTGTCAGGGCCTCTTTGACTCGAGTGACTGGGTAGGTATTTTGCCAAACAGGCCTATTATCTGTGCCGTTCTGTGGTGGGCCTTGGGGAGAATAATTGGGTCAGAGACAAAGCATAAACGAAGATGACAGATACAGGCCCTCCCACTGAGCTCCCGGCATCATATCATCTACCCCTGAAGGTTTCCGCCAACGTGACGAGAAGTGTTTTTGTCTTCTCTACAGAAGCCCCTATAGGGACTA